AAAAAAAAAAAAAAAAGAAAAGAAAAAAACGACACCATATCTCCAAATATAGGTGTATCAACCGAATTCAAACTACTGAAAATTAAAATTAAAATCAGAATCACAATTTTAAAGGCAGCCCAACTAGAAAATTACTGCCATATGTACATTACCTGTGGGAGTATGTTCTGATAAGTGCATCATGGGATGATTCCATCATTCTGTGAACATCATAGAGTAGGCTTACACAAACCTATGCTGCAATTGTGTAGCTTATTATGCCTGTAAGCTGTATGGCATAGCCTAATGCTCCTAGGCTATGAACCTGTACAGCAAATTACTGTACAGAATACTAAAGACAACTGTAACTCAATGGCAAGTATTTGCATATCTAAGCATAGAAAAAGTTTTGTAAAAATAGTTTTATAATCTTAAAGGACCACTGTCATGTATGTGGTCAATGGCTAAAACACTGTTTTGCAATGCATGACTACTGACAAAGGAGGGAAGTTAAGAATTACAACACACCTCTCGTCAGAAAATGTGAAATCAAGGGGTCAATGGTTACTTCTGTAAATTAAAAACTCCTGCCAACTCACAATTCTATAACCAATTAGCATATTTATCAAAAGCAATGGAGAACTACTTAGAAAAAATAAAATGGAGGAAATTCATTGCCATCAAGCGGACACTGCAAGGAATGTTAATAAAAGTACTTCAGGTCAAAGGAATATTATATATGTCAGAAACTTGTGTTTACACCAAGAAATAAAGTACATAAAAATAAAGATAATTGCTCTAAAAGATAACTAGTGGTTTAAAACAATAATATATATATAATATATATAATAATAATATACATTGTTTTTCCAGCATATGTAAAAGTAGTGTAAGACTACAAGACCACAAAGGATCAGTGAGAATTGGAAATATACTGTTACAAGGTTCTTATATTGAAATGGAAAGAGTACAATTTCATTTAAAGGAGATCTCAAATTATTTAAAAATATATACTAAAAACCCCTGGGAGAACCATTAAATATGTTTTTAAAGATGCATAAAAGAAGAAGACCAGGCTCAGTACTAGCACTTTGTGAGGCTGAAACGAGCAGACCACAAAGTCAAGAGATCAAGACCATCCTGGTCAACATGGTGAAACCCCGTCTCTATTAAAAATAAAAATTAGCTGGGCATGGTGGCGTGTGCCTTTAGTCCCTGCTACTAGGGTGGCTGAGGCAGGAGAATCACTTGAATCTGGGAGGTGGAGGTTGCAATGAGGCGAGATCATGCCACTGCGCTCAAGCCTGGTGATAGAGCAAGACTCTGTCTCAAAAAAAAAAAAAATAAATAGGAGAGATTAAAATGTAATCATAAATCATGCTTGATTAAACTCAAAGAAGCCAGGCATAGTGATGTGCACCTGCAGTCCCAGCTTTTCTGAAGGCTGAGGCAGGAGGATCTCTTGAGCCCAGGAGTTTGGGGCTACAGTGGGTTATGAATGTGCCTGCGAATAGCTACTGAACGTCAGCCTGGGCAATATACTCAGACCCTGTCTTAATCTCAGCACTTTTGAAGTCCGAGGTGGGTAGAGCTGTTGGGGCCAGGAATTGGAGACCAACCTGGACAACATTAGTGAAATCTTGTCTCCAATAAAAACAACAAACAGAGAAGTCAAAATAAGCATTCTTTTCAAGTTTCTATGGGACACTCATCAAGATAAACCACATGATGGGCTATGAAACATGACTTCACACATTTAAAGAATAGAAATTACACAAATTACATTATCAGACCATACAAAATTGAAATTGATATTACAAAAACTATCTAAGAAATCCACAAAAGTTTGAAAATTAGAACTTTTTTTTTTTTGAGACGTAGTTTCACCCTTGTTGCCCAAGCTGGAGTGCAATGGCACGATCTTGGCTTACTACAACCTTCGCCTTCTGGGTTCAAGTGACTTTCCTGCCTCAGCCTCCTGAGTAGCTGAGATTACAGGCATGAGCCACCACACCAAGCTAGTTTTGTATTTTTAATATAGATAGGATTACTCCATGTTGGTCAGGCTGGTCTCGAACTCCTGACCTCAGATGATCCACCTTCCTTGGCCTCCCAAACTGTTGAGATTACAGGCGTGAGTCACTGCACTTGGTGAAAATTAGTATACATCTAAATAACCCTGGGGTCAAAGAGTAAGTCTCAGGGAAATTAAATATTTTGAGCAAAATAAAAACACAGTATTTCAATGTTTGTATAACATAGCTAAAGCAGTATTTACAGGGAAACTTACAGCATTAAATTTATATGTATTATAAAAAAATCTAAAATCAGTAAATTAACACTTTACCTTAAGAAGCTAGAGAGAAAAAAAAGCAAATGTGAAGCTTTTAAATGCGAAGCATTCAGAAGGACAAAATTAGAGCAGAAATTAATAAAACCAAAATTGGAGACAAGGCAAAAAAATCAACAAAACCAAACATGATTCTTTGAAAAGATAAAAATAGAGGCAATAAATTGATAATGGCCACAAACAGCCCAACCTAGAATGGAATTTCAAATGCCTGCTCCTTCCACCATCTCAGTGCCTTAGTTTCGGCAATGAGTAAGGGATAGAACAAGTAGGAAGAAGACTGACTATGTAGGGGAAGGGGAGTGATGATTTCTTGGGATATATAGTTTGTGGTGGAATATTAAGTAACCAGAAACTGGCAAGGGAAGAGTAGAGAAGGGATGCTGGAAATACACAATTATATTTTTTCATTTACGAAACTCTTATCACTTACAGAAATGATTATTTATTTAAACTATGATTGTTTTCTTGTCCAAGGGAACCACTGAGTTTACAGATCCTCAAATATTTCAGTCAATCCATGTATCTCTAATAACACTTATTTCACCAATGTCATCCTATTTTTGATGTCTCCTATAATTCATTATTGTAATTTAACCAGGAGATGTGTAATTTTCTCTGGATTGGTGTACGACTAAGATAACTGGCCAGGTGAGGTGGCTCATGCCTGTAATTCCAGCACTTTGGGAGACTGAGGCAGGTGGATCACTTGAGGTCAGGAGTTCAAGACCAGCCTGACCAACATGGCAAAACCCCATATCTATTAAAAATACAAAAATTGACTGGGCATGGTGGCATGCGTCTGTAATTCCAGCTAGTTAGGAGGCTGATATGGGCAGAACTGCTTGAACCCAGGAGAGAGAGGCTGCAGTTAGCAGAGATCGTGCTGTTGCGCTCCAGCCTGGGTGACAGAGCTAGACTCCATCACAAAAAAATAAAAATGACTGAAGCATTGCAATAGTACCTGGAGCTTAAATTTTTCATTATAATGCCAGCTGACCTTGGGTGTGAGATCATGACCGAATTTGTGTAATGTGGATTAAATCTCATGCTTCCAGCACATTTGTTTATGCTAATATATCTCATAATACATTGTAGATATCATAACAATATATTTCCCAACTTAAAAAGTTAAAAATACCTAAGTGTAAAATGTTTCAAAACTATAATTCCAGGCCCTAAAAAAACTTCTGGTTAAATATCAGAATAGACCAAAGAAATGTTCAGAATCAAAGGTCTCAAAAACTTTATTTCACATTAGAAAGCTAATGAATTCAGGAAATTAGACAACTGCAGGGGACAGTTTCGGAATCAATCAAGAATAAGAACATGAAGCCATTTCCTTTTGCCGACATCACTGAAGTGGGAATGGCCAAAATGAAGTTCAATCACTTTGTGTCTTCTGACCAAAGCAAGAACTGCAAAAGGCATTTCAATGCACCTTTTGACATTTGCAGGAAGATTATGTCTTCCTCTCTTTCCAAAGAGCTGAGACAGAAGTATAAGGTTCGATCCATGCCCATCCAAAAGAGTGATGAAGTTCAGGTTGTATGAGGACACTATGAAGGTCAGCAACTCGGCAAAGTAGTCCAGGTTTACAGGAAGAAATATGTCATCTACACTGAAAAGGTGCAGTGGGAAAGGCTAATGGCACAACTGTCCATGCAGGCATTCACCCAGCAAGGTAGTTATTCCCAGGCTAAAACTGGGCAAAGACTGCAAAAAGATTCTTGAATAGAAAGCCAGATCTCCCCAGGTAGGAATAGAAAAGAGCAAATACAAGGAAAAAACCATTGAGAAGATGCAGGAATCAAGCTGTCTTATATGCAAGCTTTAAAATTTGAAATGAAAACAAAACATACTGAAATTGTATAACTATTAACTACAGGAAACAGTTTTATCACAACTAGATTCACTGGCTCAATTATGTCTACTAGGTGAAAGAAAATGAGTCTTCTAATAGTTATTCATGCAGAATCTGTTACATTAGAAATTGTAAGAAGTTTTGAATCCACTCCAGTATAAAAGTAAGGCCAAAGTCATCCTAAAAAATCATTAAAAGTATACAGTAGAGATATATCATTCAAATTATAAAAGGAAACCTTACTCATAATCCAAAAAAAATGCCAGTCTTACTAGGTGACACTTTTGGCAGCAGATCAATTTGCTTATGACCCAATACAATATATTTATCCTTACCAAATCACCGAATCCCCCACGATCCATCCTGTACTAAAGTTGGTGGGCGCTTCCTCCTTCTGGGAAGAGAGTCATTACAGACACCAAGGATCCATTCAGGCTTGTCTTTCACTTCTACTTCCCAGTACTGCCGGCCACTACTATAGCCCTTAGAGCCCACAACAGCTGGGAGGCGATAAAATCTTCTTGGGTTTGGAGGTAAGTTTTGCACTGTGTTTCCATATCGCACAGTTTTTCTATCTGCTGAGACTATAAGTTTACAATGTGCTGTTACAGGATCTAGAATTACATCTACTTGAAATTGCTTGATAATTTTGTATAGGCCAGAATATTGTAGAGGCAGACAGTAACCATATTCTTTTAACTGAATGAAAAAAGTTCAGGGAATTTTATTATTTTTATATCTGTGATAGACGTCCTTAACATTTGCGATTAATTCCAGTTCTGACTTCACATATGTGCTCTCTATCTCCTTTAGTAGATATTTTAATGAGGAGGCATAATCTGAAAATTTTCTTAGGCTTTCATTCAGTTGTGCTAAAATATCCATCTCTTCATCTCGTAATTGCCCAAGAATAGTCCCTTGCTCATTTTGGAGAAATAACATAAGTTGCTAAAATTCAGACCTGACTTCTTCTTCCTTACGTTTTACCTTTTTCTTCAGTTCTAACGATTTTCTGGTTTGTATGGTTATGATTTTTTCAGTTAGTTCCACTCGCTCCTTCCATGGTGCATTGTATTCCTCCAATTTTTTCCTGTGATAGGAGGCAGCCTTCTTTATGTGCCAAACACAGTGAAGCTGGTGACCAGTGGAGAAACTGCACCTTGGACATAAAAGCTCTAGGTCTTCCTGACAGAAAAAGGTCAAAACCTGATTATGTTTCTGACAAACATGCTTCTCTTCTTGCCTCTTTCTCTTGCTTCTCATCTGGAGTTGCTTAACAATTTCAGTCAAACGACCCAGCTGAGGATTGCTTGTCAATTTCCTTTCTGGACAGCAAAAGTGGCAAAAAGGGCAGGGAATATATCATCTAGATCCTTCCAGGATATAATGATACAGGAGAGACACAAGTTATGCCCACAACTGATGATCACTGGGTCTTTCAAGCAGTCCAGACAGATGGGACAGCTAGCCACTGCTCGGAGGACATCCAGGCCTGCCACAAATTCCATTGAGCCCTGAACAAAGATGATAGGTAAAGTAATTCTTTTAGCAAGGCCTAGCTCTCTAGACCTCAAGACCCAGTAAGCAGTAGATATTTTCCCTGAGACCTTGACATCTGACCAGCTTTCTGTTTTACTGACTTGACATGTTGATGGCAGCTTCTAGAAACTTGTTAAGCCCTCAGCTCCTTAGCTTCAGAGTCTACTGCCTGAAGACAGACACCTCACAGCCTGCAGCCTATTACATATTACAACATATTAGCTGGGCTGCTGCTCTTCCCACTTAATGAAATAAAGTCAAGTTTTCTTCATGAAAGCAGCCTCAGGTCCAAGATAAGAAATTCCTCCTATGAGTGAGAAAAGACTCCATGTTACAAATCTGATTCCAAAATCACTAATGTATTTAACATTCACACACAAATCATCAATCAATGTTAAAATTACTGAGTGGATGTTCTTGGAAAAACAAGATATTCATATTGCAGAGATTCACACCATACATTACTTATTAAGAAAAAAAAGTGGGACAAACGTATGTGCTTCCTGATCGGATAAAATGGTAAGTATACAGCATTGCCTATATAATATTCTTTCCAAAAATACTGACTTTCAAGCTAACCATGAAAAAATTACTCTAATTCAGATCGTGGAGCATTCCTACAAGACAACTGGTCTGTGTTCTTCAAAAATGTCAATGTCAAAAAACCAAGCATAAAAAAAAAAAAGACTTCTATCTAGATTTAAGGAGAGGAAAGAAATATGACAAATACAATGTGTGATAGCTCACAGGGTCTGAGATCTTGAAATTAAAAAAAGAAAAAAACTAAAAGATAAAATGCTGGGAGTAGGTCAGGTATGGCGGCTTATACCTGTAATCTCAACACTTTGGGGTGCCAAGGCATGTGGCTCCCTTAAGGCCAGAAGGCCAAGACCAGCCTGGCCAACCTGGTGAAACCCCATCTCTACTAAAAATAGAAAAAAATAGCTGGACTAGGTGGCACGCGTATGTTCCCAGCTGCTTGGGAGGCTGAAGCAGGAGAATCACTTCGCTGTATCCCAGACGGCAGAGGCTGCAGTGAGCTGAGATTACAACACAGCACTCTACCCTGGGCAACAGAGCAAAACTCTATCTCAAAAAAAAAAAAAAGAAAAAAGAGTTGGGAACAAATGAATGTAAGAATCTTAGTATGGACTCTATATCACATAATGTTGCACCAGTGATAAATTGGGCACAATAAAATTATAGTAAGAAGTAAAATGCCATTGTTGTTAGGAGATACATATTGATGCACAGGGGGAAGCCATCTGGAAGTCTGAAGCTTTCAGAAGTTTTACCGATTTAAAAACTGTATAGCCAGGCATAATGGCTCACATCTTTAATCCCAGCACTTTGGGAGGCTAAGATGGGCAGATTACCTGAGGTCAAGTGTTTGAGACCAGCCTGACCAATATACAGAATCGCCATCTCTACTAAAAATATAAAATTAGCCGGTGTGGTGGCACATGCCTGTAATCCCAGCTACTCAGGAGGCTGAGGCAGGAGAATCATTTGAACCTGGGTGGTAGAGGTTGCAGTGAGCTGAGATGGCGCCATTGTACTCCAGCCTGAGTGACAGAGTGAGACTCCATCTCAAAAAAAAAAAAAAAAAAAAAAAAAAAAAAAAAAAAAAAAAAAAAAAAAAAAAAAAAGTAGTATAAACAGAGAAAACCTCAATGTGACAAAAAGTTAACAATGGGATGAAGCCAGGGAAAAAGCATAAGGATGCATACCCTTTCAATCTTTCTGTAAGTTTGACACCTTCAAAATAAAAGTAAGAAAGTCAAACTTCCTGGCTTGCTTTCAAGACACCTACAGGTACCTGATTTTAAGTAAGTCAAATTTCTCCATCAAAGCTTGCAAGACAAGACATCTAACCCAGCCTGACTAACATGGAGAAACCCCATCTCTACTAAAAATACAAAATAAGCCTGGCATGGTGGGGCATGCCTGTACTCCCAGCTACTCGGGAGGCAGAGGCAGGAGAATCATTTGAACTTGGAGGCAGACGTTGCAGTGAGCCAAGATCACGCCATTGCACTCTAGCCTGGGTGACAAAAGCAAAACTCTGAGTAAAAAAAAAAAAAAAAAAAAAGTCACGTAAATGGTAGCCAATACATGCCATTCTTCTTGGCCAAAGGAGCTTTCAGCTAGATGTATTGCAATCTGGATCCAAACAAGGGCCATGAATTGCATTTGCTTATTAGTACTTTCTAAAAAATCTTTTTGAATCTAGAATAATATTTCCTGCCTCCACCTTTGTCCTAGACTACCTCAAATTGAAGATTTGCCAATTGCTTTACTGGTTCTTTTTTATTTTTTCACTTTCTTTCTTTTATTTATATTTTTTATTTTTTATTATTTTTTAAGGCAAAGGCTTGCTGTATTGCCCAGGCTAGAGTACCGTGGCATGGTCTTGGCTCACTGCAGTCTCTAACTCCTGGGTTCAAATGATTCTTCTGCCTCAGCCTCCTCCCCATGCCTGTAGCTGGGACTACAGGCATACGCCACCACACTCAGTTAATTTTCGTATCTTTCATGGAGATGGGTTTTCACCATGTCATCCAGGCTGGTCTTGAACTCTGGACTGCAGGTGATCTGCCTGCCTCCGCCTCCTACAGTGCTGGGATTATAGGCATGAGCCAACATGCCCGACATGCCTATTGCTTGTTGATATCATTTAATTTGTTCCTCAGGCCTTCACTTTTTAAACAAATTACATGTTTCCCCTCTTTACAATCTGTTAATAACTCCCCATAAGTCACGACAAAGTTTTTCACCCTGAGCTCACTAAGAACCCTGCATATTTCATTATCTTCATCTGGCTACAGTCCCCTAAAGTAGTTAACAAAAACAAACAAACATTGGTATCTTGCTTTCCCTCTTCTGCACAAACCACTTTCTGTTTAGATTACCCTATCCTCACTTCTTTCCGAGGACTGTTTTGCAACTAGAGACTCAGCACAAGTGACATGTTCTCAAGGATAATTTATTATATGTCAGGCACTGTGCTGAGGATCTTCCATATAGACACAGGTTCAACCAAACCGTCAGAACAACTCCATCAGTTAGGAGCTATTGTCCTCACTTAGAGCTGTAAAAGCCGAGTCCACAAGAATTTGAACACACTTATCCACCATTACACTGATTGGCATAACCACTAGCATGATAATGACTAAGTTGTGGCGCTCCTTCCATACACTCCCAGAGCAGCCTGTGCATCTCTCTATATGAAACCACGTTACATCTTTCATTTTTGATATGCTCAGTTGTTCATACTTAATAATGTCTCCCAAATATTTTAACAGGGAATAATGCACTTACTGGTCCAACACTACAATGGTGAAAACAAGTAACATACAAATTGAGAGCTAACAATACCTAACAGAACTGGGTTTTCATCCAACTCTAACACTTTGCTCCCTACATGTACTTGGTCAAGTTAATTTCTCTGAGTTTCACTTTTCAGAAAGTAGGAAATAATACTATCTCAGGTTTTAAGCATAAATAAATTATATAAGACATTTGCCACAGTCCTTGGCATTTAACATATGTACAATAAAAAGTGTTATAAGACTATCTCAGAAAATCTCTCAAGAGATCATACAAATTTAGATGAATCCACATACTTTGCCTGATTACAGGCATGAGCCACTGTGCCCAGCCTACTTTTTTTTATTACATGTAATACACACATATATACAGATACCTATATTTACTTACATATAAAGCACATTGCCTGGGCATGGTGGATCACGCCTGCAATCCCAGCACTTTGGGAAGTCGATGTAGGCAGATCATGAGGTCAGGAGTTCAAGACCTGCCTGACCAACATAGGGAAACCCTGTCTCTACTAAAAATACAAAAAAAATTGGCCGGCCATGGTGGTGCGTGCCTGTAATCCCAGCTACTTAGGAGGCTCAGGCAGGAGAATTGCTTGAACCTGGGAGGCACAGATTGCAGTGACCCCAGATCACGCCATGGTACTCCAGCCTGGGCAACAAAAAGTGAGACTGACTCATAACAAACACACACAAAAACAAGCAAAGCACATTGGGCCACAAGTGGTGGCTCACACCTCTAATCCCAGCACTTTGGGAGGCAAGGCAAGTGGATCACTTGAGGTCAGGAGTTTGAGACCAGCCTGGCCAACATGGTAAAACTCCATCTCTCCTCAAAATACAAAAATCAGCTGACAGTGGTGGTATGTACCTGTAATTCCAGCTACTTGGAAGGCTGAGGCAGGAAAATCATTTGAACCTGGGAGGCAGAGGTGGCAGTGAGTGGAGATCTTGCCACTGCACTCCAGCCTGGGCAACAGAGCAAAGCTCTGTCTCCATTAAAAATAAAAAAGCAATTGACATTTCAACCTAAGAGCTGTTATGTCTTATAAGGTTGCTAATCCTCAAATGATTAGTAAATGTAGTAACTTCCAAAGGCTCACTGTAGTAATGGTGTGCTTTAGAAAATTTTCCTATGCTAATTGTGGAGTAAGACAGAAGTTTCCAAATTTTAAAATTCATATTTTATTTTAAATAGTCTTTTGTATTAGCAAGTCAGCATCTACTGATGGAATCAACTTTGTAAAGAATCAAAAATACATGTTCCTGGGATGCAGAACCTGCACCACTGGTCTTGAGCATTCATGGATTTTGGTATCTTCAGGGTGCCCTGGAACCAACACCCTGTATATATCCAGGAATGAGAGTACATTTAACTTGTGAAAAGTTCTAACACCAACTACAGAAAGTATGGACTAACGACCAGGAGTGGTGGCTCAGGTCTGTAATCCCAGAACTTTGGGAGGCCAGGATGGGCGGATCACTTGAGCCCAGGAGTTCAAGACCAGCCTGAGCAACATGGAAAAATCCCATCTCTACAAAAAGAAAAGAAAGAAAAGAAAAGTAAAGCAATGAAAAGCAAAGAAAAAAGAAAAGAAAAGAAAAACAAACATCTATTTTAGAAAACAGCT